GTTATCAGTTGCTATTTAGATAATGTGCATACATTTCATTTGCAAGTATATCAAAGAGCTACTAAAGTACACTGTCATGAAATATAAATAACAGCTTAAATTTTAGGCATGTCCCATTATATCAAACCTGTGGCACACCTTAATAAGAGAGAACTAATAGCAAAGATGATGATCTGATCTGGCAACAAATTTGGAAGACTAAAGTAACTAAGCTAGGCAGCTGCCACCACACTGATCCATCCAAATTTCATATAACAAACTGAATGAATAAATTGATTTGCTAGACTGATAGTGGTGAAACCTGAAAAGGAGCAAAAGCTTTGTGTTCACAGTCTGGATCTCCTGTGAATGTGAAACCCTGTCTGCTTCCAATATAAAGAATTGTAGTTTCAGCTGTTCATTAGCCAGCAATAGGTCAGGGGTTGCGATTGCAATTTCTCTCATATATCAGAACACTGTAAGTGTACAGTGAAGGCAGTTCAGCTATCCCCAGATGGTTTTCTCCTGAGTTCTTCTCAGTCACCAATTGTGATGTTTTTCTCTGTCCACTACTTCTCTAAGCACTGTTTTATTTCCTGAAAAATCCATGATCTCTAGACAATTTTAGAGTGGATCTTTAAGAATCAATTTTACAAAATAAATATGACTTGTCCTGGTCTTGACACTTATGTTTTATTGGTCAGTCAGCATGAAGGAAAAATAGCCCCATTGCTCCAAACTATGAATGCTTCTGATCTCGCAAGCTCAGCAGTTTCAGATCTTGGGCTTGTTAGGTGCTCATGAGACCAAGGGTATCATAGGGTCCTTGCCACCTCCCAGGATCTATCAAACCCTCAGATACTTGGCCAGTATCTGAGTGTCTAGCATAACTAGAATGTATGACCTTGATTTTCAAAGATGTTCAAGCACCCATGGGTTCCTCTGCCATCAAATGGAGTTTTCAATGCAGAGCATCTCTGAAGATCAAACCCAAGGTGTTACTTCCTATTTCATGAGCAATTGCTCTGGAATTTGTCTAGCTTCCTAACCAATGTACTTTTCTTTTCTAGCACCTACGGTGAGCTCACCAACTGTACCTTACTAATAGCTGGGAAACTAGACTGCTATTGGCCGAACAAGCTGGTGGACGAGTTCTTCATAGCCATTCACAAGCATTATTTCAAAAACTGCTCCCTCTCTGGGAGGTCTCTGAAAGACCCACCAAATAACATCCTGTATCCATTCATTGTGATACCCATTCTTGTTACCCTGCTCATGACAGTGCTAGTGGTGTGGAGAAGCAAAAAGAGCGAAGGCATTGTGTAACTTCGACTGCCTTGCACCGCAATTTAGGATGGCTCTAGGTCCATATGGACACTATTTTGTGGATGAAACCTTCTTCAGTAGGTAATAAGGGCCCTTGCAAAATCAGCAGCCTGTTGGAAACCACTGAGCAAGACTGCTCTAGTGAACCATTTTTTCACCCTACAGCAAGCTGGGAAGGCTCAGCAGTATACTAAAGGCAATGCACAACTAACATTTCATCCTGTGCTGACAACAGAAGTGTCACATGCTTTTCTTCTGGAGAACAATCTTTGTTAAAGCAGAGATGACACCCCTTGGACTAATACCACTGCTCCGCAAGTTGCTAATACTCTTGGCACCTCATGTGCCAATTCCTTTGTCATTTTAATTGTGTCATAAATACTTTTTTAAGTGAAAGCTCTATAATTAAAGATTAGTATCTATATGCCTAACCAATAATTAGTTCCAGTGGCCCTTGGGAGGTACTATTCTTCACAAATAATCTGATTATTCTAATTCATTTCTTGGAAAGTTGTGGATTGAATGCTGCTGAATCCTGTTAATAAAAGGCATCCCTGATTACTTTGCAAACTGTTGTTGTCAAGTATCATTTTTAACATGAAAGTACTACAATTCTGTCTAGCTGTGTAGGAGCTTGGCTTTTTCTAGTTAAGATAAATTGTTGGCATCATTTTTATTACAGAAGCAGTTACATACCAAGCAATGCTTCCCTGTTGCTCTAGGCACTTAACAGAGTAGAAGACAAGGCCTACCCCAATAAGCTTACTGTCTAAAAAGCAAAACAGAGATTGGGAAAGAGGAAATAGTCTTCCCAGGTCATTAAGAAGTCCTGGTCCAAGAAGGGACTGGGGTCCCTAAATTGCACATTAGGCAGAATTTGAGGACAGAGCAAGATCTACTTTTTGCCTGGTTGCCTGGGGCTTAACACACTTACCCAGGTGGGAGAGCTGGGCTGACCAGGCTGAAGGCACTCTTACTTTTCCTTGCTGAACCTGGTCTATTGTCCAGAAAGCAATAGAAGACTCACGGGACCAGAAAAACAAGAAGCAAGAAGGAGTGTCTCTGTAGCCCTGTGAGGACAGACCTCCTTGGGAACTGGGAGGTAAGAGTTCTGTCCTCTTCTCTAATGTTGTTCAAGCGTGTTTTTTCCCCACCAACTCCTGAATGCAAAGTGTTTAAGCAATCCCAGAGGTAGACTAGGCTACAGAGGTACACTTGTGATGTGGGCTTTGCAAAATGAGTAATAAACACAAAAAAACAAGGTAAGGACCATGGTCCTGCATAAAACTTTATATTTTACAGCCTCCCCCTCCCCCCCATATCTTAATTGTCCATCCACAGTTTGGGATGATGTAAGGGTGGAAAATAGCAGAGCAAGAGTGAGGCAAATAGAGCAGTCACTTCTAGCTAAAGCAGTTCATTTCACAGAGAATAAGCTCTTGGAAGCCGACTTCTTGCTTATGCTCCTGATTTTCTCCAGTAGCTCCTCTGAAGCTGGATTCCTTCTCTTCCCTGATGTCAGCAAGCAGTCAGTTAGCCAGTGCTGACACTCCTAAATACCACTTTTTCAACACCATCATATTCTAGTCTGCAACATTCAGAAATGCAGTTTCAGTACGGACTCCTTCAAAAGCTCCTCACCTTCTCTAAGATGCCGGAGCTCAAACATCCTCCATTCCCTCCTCACTCCAATCTTCTTTCCACCAGTGAAAATTTTACTTATGTCCCAGTCCTACTTTCACTGACAAAGGTGACAGCGGGTGGTGGGAAGGGTGGAAAAGAAGAGGTTGCTGTTAACTCCATTGTGGGAAAGATCAGTCCCTTAAACAGCTATCTGTCCCAGCATAAGCTAGTGACATGTACAATTCCATTCGTTGGGTGCCTAGCTTCAGGCTACTTGGGGAAGGTCTGCAAGGTACTTGTAACAAGAGGGCGGCCTGGGTCACCATGCTCTCCCCTGCTGCCTCCTTTACCGTGCTGAGCTGCCGACTTGCACCCTCCAATTCTCTCCTGCCACGACTTTGATTTTATATATTTCTATAGGGAGGCTGCCTTCTGTCTTCTTGGCCACAGTTCTCCTGTCTCGGGCATTCTGTACACCCCAGCCTTATCAGCTATGCGTGGCTCCTACTGTTGGCTACAAATCTCCAACTTGGGATCCTTAAAATTCTAGTTTTAAGAGGCAGATTGAAACACTGTAATCATAAGCCTTGGGGCTGGTCCCCCCCCCCACACACACACACACACACACATACGCACACCCACAGTAGCAGGCTACAGAGTCAGGTATACATATCCTACAAGCGCTGGAGTCTGCCGTCAATGGCCAGTCAAGGCTTCTTTCAGTGTGGTGTTATCCTCCAGAAGGGGGTAGCCGGCTGGTCCTTCTGGCTGGACAGGTCTGGTCGAGTTGGAGATAGAGATCAAGAGGGCGCCCCTGAGGGTCACTTTTCACTGCCTTTTATCTGTCCCTGGCAGACTTTGGTGACTCCCCAGTTTTCAGGTTTGCCCAAT